CGAGTTTTCTCAATTGTTCGTAATAACGTTAAGCTTCCACCAAGTTTTGCGAACGTAGGTTAGAAGAGAAAAGTGAAGAGAAAAGTGAAGAGAAAAGAAAAAGGAAAAGATGAGAGAAAGTATCAAGAAAATAAAAAAGCTTCTACTTTTCTCGAACAAGACAACAATAAACTTTGAAACGAACCATTAACGAATTTGGTATCATACCTTTTAACGATTTTGTCTCTCCATCAACTGGTATTATTTGAAATTCAATATTAAAAAATAACTATCAAAGAGATTATTGCATTAACGTTAATATAAAGAGTCATTTGAAACGTTAAAAAGGAAAATTACGTACAACGTTGATCTACGACTAACCATTTTGTGGAATTAAAAAAAATTACAAAAAAAAAAGAAAAAACAAAAGACGTTGATAAAAAAGAGAGACGAAATAAGGTTACCAGCTTGCGTCCAGTGAAAATCGTCACGTGGAAAGACAGGAAAAGTAATCGACAGTGAAAGAACTTCAACTTCTATCCGTTACAACTTACACTCTTATTATCCTCAGTCATCGAATCGCAGTATCCACGAGTACCGACACTTTAATCCTCGATTTCTTCCTTTCCTCTTGATCTATGTTGAAAAAAAAAATCAAGAAAAAGAGAGAGAGAGAACGAAAAAGAAAAAAGAAAAGAAGAAAATCGAGAATCCTATATCGATTTCGAAGTCCCATGGGAAATCGGAAAGCGTTTCAACTAGATCGATGGAAAGAAGAATAAGAGAGAAAGATAGAGAGAATAAAAATAGAGAGAGAGAGAGAGGGAGGAGGGAGGAGGGGGGAGGAGGAAATGAGTTCGTATTTACCAAAGGTTCGTATTTACAATAGGTGAAGGGGCCAGGCGGTAAAGAGACGAATGTGAAAAGGGCAACTAAGGAGAGAGAATTTTCCATTACACCAAGTACACCGGCTCTTATCATTGTGGTGCACATTCTACCACCGACGACCCACAACCCACAGCCCCCCATAGCATCGCTCTGCTTTTCTCCAAAGTAATGGAAAACAAACAGCAGAATATCGCACCTCCGTTCGTTCGTTCGTTCGTTCGTTTATGTATGCCCAAAAGTGTCTCAACTATCATCATCCATCCCTCTCTCTCTTTCTCTCTTTTTTTTCTCTTATTCTCGCGATCAATCTATACATTTTTTTTTTTTATCTAACGTTCTCGAATACATCTAACATGGATTACACGTGATATCGAAATCGGGAACGGTGATTTTTCTAGTGGTTTGCAAGTAACGTTAAAATGATCTTATTCTTACGATCTATTAGGAGGAAAAAACAAACAAAATATATGTATATATAGATATAATATGAAAGGTGGTTTGTAAATTGTTTAACAGTAATCATTATTATTGTGTTCTATTTATTGATTTATATAAAATAGCTAATTGAGGAGATATATGATGATTAGTGATTGATACCTAATTAAAACAAACAATGTTCGTTGATCTGTACACGTGATAGAAGTGGAAACACGTATTATATATATCAGGTGGAAAATAATTAATTTGATTTATATACACAGTGAGTAAAAATCGTGGATCATTACGTTTTTATAAATTTTATGAAATCTGTTATACGAATATTTATACACGCGTGCATACACATACATAAACATAAAACACGTAGATATAAAAAACACATGTAGATACCCCCACGCTGAATCTATCTACAAGTAACATGATCCCATTAATAGAATCAGCGATACAAAGAAGTTATATACAGCAAGTGTCCATTAAAATTGTATGTATTTATTATTTAAATTAAATGTATTTTAAATTGAAACAATCCTAAATGTAAGTAAAATACATTAGAGTATTAGACTTACCATAAATGATTGTTAATTAATCGAAGGAAATGTATATTGCTGTCTAGAAGCACGGAGTACAAGCTTGACGCACCTTCCACTTCGAAAACAAACAATGAACTGAGTCGTTTGTCATCTCTGAAAGTTCTTTTATTAAACGTTGTTTATATGACTTTCCGAACGTTGCGCATGCGTGTAACGAGAATTTTATTTGTAATAAAAAGAAATTAAGATGCAAACGCTCTGATTTTAGCATTTTTTTAATTTTTAGGTAATTGCTTCAACAAAGGTATATTTGTTTTAATGTTCCTGCCCAATGATGAATTCAAGGAGGGTGGGGTAAAATTTTCATCTAATAAAACATAAGATCAAAATTAATTAATATTCAAAGTATATTAATAGGGGGGTATGTAATGTTTAAACAAATATATATACGTTGAAATAATATTAAATATAAGTATATAAAGTACATTAGATTATTAAAATAATTGTTAATTAAACGATAGAAGTGTTTATTGTTGTCTAAAATCTCGGAGAATATGATTTGAATGATACGATTAATTAACAATTATTTTAATACACTAATGCATTCTTTTTACATTACAGGAAAATTTTACCCACGAAGTCATCACTGCGCAGGAGTGTTGAAATAATTACATAAAAATGATAAAAATGCTGAAATCGTAACGTTATAATCTTAAATTTTATTGATTAGGTGGATTATTGATTTTATACACATGCGCAACGTTCGGAAAGTCATACAAACAACATTTAATAAAAGAAATTTTATAGAAGAGAAAGTCCCAGTCTCAAGGTGAATTTCGAGGAAGACAGTTGACAGAACATATTCTCCGAGCTTTTAGACAACAGTAGACACTTGCATTGATTAATTAACAATTATTTTAATGCACTAATGCACTGTACTTATATTACAGCTTGTTTAAAAATATATATTCACAGGTTTATACATTACATACTTATTAACATATTTTAAATATTAAATTAATTTGATGTGATATTCTTTTCGATGAAAATTTTATCCTCCGAAGTCATCGATATTGTTATTTCAAGTATAATTATATATAGATGTAATTTTTAAACAAATGTACTTTGTATTATTTTTACTTTAATAGGTACTAAATTGAAGCAAATTAAAGTAGCATTAAAATTAAATAATGTTACTTGTAAGGCTAAATATATTAACAAAATTTAATATAATTATAATAAAAATATATTTCTCTATATTTACTATGTTTATGAGCCATCCTATATTTATATTTTTACAAATTCTAAATTTTATAATACAATAACTAACGTATATTTCCATACTTCGGAATATCGTAAACTTATAAATGATAAACTTTCGCACATCACGGGTTCATCGATCGATAGTCGATATCCAATCAGAACTCGAATATACGTGGTTAATATCGGTTTAACCGTACGAACCATCTGACTAAACCGATATATATATATATATATGTATATATATATATTCGAGGACATAACGTTTATATATATACACGCAGATACCTAGCCATAACCTATCGAATCTATTAACTCATGGATCTAGTTTCTTAATAATGCACGTTTCACTAAACTATCCGTCATATTCTCGAAAATACGTTTATCGTTAACCACAAAGTTTCAAACATGTACATACATACAACCTATATCAAATCGAGTTACGATAAATAACATGAGAACCATAATAAAATAAAATAATCAATAAAAATTGTATCGAGAGACAAATGGATTTACGATAATATCTATATATGTATAAATATATAATGGAAAATAACAAAGAATCAAATAGAACGAGGAAAATATTTACGGGTTTCGTAGATCCGAAAAATCGTTACATCCTACAATCGAAGAATCGAAAAACTTTACTTATTTATGAATAAAATACTTAACTATATTTTCAATTTAAAAGAAAAAAAAAAGTAAATTATTATTTCTAAGTGGTACAATATATATATATATATATATATAATATTATACAAAACCAAATGAAATTTTTGTTCATTTTCTTTTGAAGCATAATAAATAATAATTACAGCTCGAAGCTTTGAAAGTGAAGAAGTTAGGAATCGTGTCACGTTTAATCCAGACGAGGGGTTATTTGATGTTTGCGGTAGCGCGTGAATCAAAATGAAAAAAGGGTAATGACGACGACAACAACGACGACGACGACGACGACGACGATGGGAGGGTGGGATGGTGGATATGCAATTAGCAATTAAAATCCCGATTCTAGCCGATTGATCAAACTCGTGCGATACCCTCAAGCCAATCGACTCTTGGATCACAATAACTACCGGTAATTGCGTGCTGACTCTCGACATGCCTCCCCTAGTTGACTGACTGGATGGTTGAATGGTTGGTTGGTTGGTTGGTTGGTTGACTGGCTCGTAGAATGAGAGAGAGAGAGAGAGAGAGAAAGAGGAAAAAAAAAAGGAAAAAGGAAAGAACGTCACTTGTGTTCGCTCGAACGATTTAAAACGGCGGATTAAAAATTTCATTCTTCGCGTTGGAACTTTTATAAATCGATATCGGAAACGAGGGACGTGGCTGCGGTTGCTTACCAAACGCCTATTCCTATCGAAACCAGTGGGCGTTGGAAAAATTACATTATGAATCAACAGAGAAAGCTAGCTTTTTTTCTTCTTCTTCTTCTTCTTCTAACTTTTTTTTTTATCTACACTTTTATAATCAATCCTCGTATAATTTGATCAACGAATAGACCGTGAACAAATAAGATAAATATAAGTACGATTAAACAGATTTATTTTCGCTATTTCCTATCTCGCGTTAAAACATTTTCTCGATTAATATTAAATATTGTGATTATTGAATCTATCGTAGTATTAATGTTGAATTTAAATTTAACTATCTTACTCTCTATCTCTCTTTATATTTTTCTATCTTTATATTATACTATTTCTTTTTTTCTGATTTTTAGAATATGATTATAAAACGCAAATACGAAAAGTTGTTCATGTTTGTTAGTTTAGACGAATGGTTTTCATAATCCATGATCGTCCTGGGAAAAAAGTAAAGAGAGAGAGAGAAAGAGAGAAAGGGAAAGTAAAAAAAAATGTGCGAGAGATATGAAATATCGAGATATGTATATGCAACAAGACTCACGTCATTCTGACCGAAGGTCGGCGTGATTGGTCCATCGCTTGCTTCCCATTTGGCAGCGATGCGGTTCGTCTCCGCCGTTTTCTGCTGGACCGATTTCGATTCGTCTAGTAACGTCAGCTCATAAAACTCTTGAATATCTGCAACAGTAAGCAAAGAAGACATATTACTGTTTCTGTACAAGTCAAAAGTTAAAGTATCGCTTCTTCGATATACATATATATATAATATATATCACAAATCGAGATACTGTAAGATATTTATTCGATCTATAATAATACGCGAGGATTTATTGGAAAATAGACAAAATATTTATTACCAAACTATAACTCAATTTATTTTTGATTCGATGGTAAAAACATTTTTTTCGATGGACAAAAATTTCCTGCGTTTCTATGTGTTATTTCTTACAAAAGTCGTTATATTTTCATGTTGAAATAAAATGCATCTGATATTGTAATGATAAAATAAAAAAGTATTTACAAAAAATATAAATAAACGTTAATGCATATATATGCATCTTTAAATATATGATATCGAGGCTTGCATTACATTATTATGAAGTAATAATTGATAGGACATATTTATAGGGTATAAAAAAAGAAAAGAAAAAAGTAAAATGTCTTATTAATTACAATCATTAGGACGAACGATTATTTATACTTGTCATAGGAAACTTTTTAACGCAAAAAGACATTTTGAACTCGGGTCAATAAAGCAATTTCGTTTAATGGCTAATCCAAGAAGAAATAATGGTAGTCGTTAACGCGACAAGAAGGTAGTAGCGTAATTTTCATCGGTCGCCGAACATTTTCTACTACGACTTCCAACATCGTGAATCGTGTGCTGGTGGTAATCTAGCAGCTAGTCTAGGTCGATTCAATGTGCCGGCACACAACGGAAATTTATTACCGGTAACGTGTCCGAGGTAGGTCATCCAGGTCGACGAAGGTAGTAATTCCTTGGTCCATGCTCTAGTGTGCCTACATTGTTCCAATGGGGCTCGTATGGGGCTAACAAGACACTTGCATCTAACGTCGATCTTCGTCAGAGTAAATCTTTGGTCTTGTCCGATACACATTTTATTAAGTAAGAAAAAAAAGGAGAAAAAAAGAAAGAGAAAACAATACAAATGACATGGCATTTTAATCGTACACGCCTAAATTATTTGCTTTATTTTTTATGCAATTTTTTATGCATCTGAGATCATGACAATTATTAACCTATTTATATAGAGACAATATTTGTTTCGGAAATATATTTGAATATTAATATTGTCAAGAAATTTTATGTATAAGTATATCTATTAAAAATATAATCAAAGTATTATACAACTATTAATAAACAGTAGTTAGAGCGTGGATGGTTTTTTAACAATATTTCAATGAAAATAATATATGAAAATATTTCAACACTTTGACGTTTAGAATTTGTACTACTGGACGGCAAAGTATACAACCTAATAATTTTTCAACATACATCAGTTAATACTATTTTTTTATTTTTGTAAAATACCTTAACCATAAATCTGTCCATTTAAAAATATAATGACTAACTTGAAATTTTTTAAAAGAAGAATAATCTTAAAAATAACAATTATCTTACCGTTCTTGTGTCTGTGTGTGTCTCTTCAAATAAGATTTGAATACCATATTCTCTCTATACAATTATATATTGTATGGAAATCTTAGATTTTTCTCTAACTCTTTGGTAATAATTTATTGCTGAGTAATTTGTACATGAATAATGAATGACGGAATGACGATAGTAGAGTTCTCAACGATCTTATCCTTCAACCGTTGACGACGTACTGAAAGATCGATTCGCGTAACGCATAATTATTTCTTGTCACCTTCCGGCGATTTAGCTGCGAGCAAGAATGTCACGTAAACACTTAGAAATGTTCGAGTGAGTGTAACTAAACAATGTTAGGACTCGCTTTGATAGAAAACGTAAACCAATCGCGTTAAAAATATTCAAATTGTTTTGGTATATTGGCGTAGCAGTTAGATAAATAAAAAGTGTATTTAAAACATTATGAAAGTATTAATAATCAATATTCTTGTCCCAACAGTATATTAATATATATGAGTTTHAAARRGAAAATTGAAGACAGTTAATAAATTTTGATGAACAAATTTATTTGATCTTGTTGAACGTTTCGTCCCTTACTGGGGACTTCCTCAGCAACTCGATCACCTAGTTCA